ATTCTCATTTCATTCTCATTTCATTCTCATTTCATTCTCATTTCATTCTCATTTCATTCTCATTTCATTCTCATTTCATTCTCATTTCATTCTCATTTCATTCTCATTTCATTCTCATTTCATTCTCATTTCATTCTCATTTCATTCTCATTTCATTCTCATTTCATTCTCATTTCATTCTCATTTCATTCTCATTTCATTCTCATTTCATTCTCATTTCATTCTCTTTCATTTTGTAATTCTTTTTTCTTTCATTTCCTTCTCTTTTACTTCTTCTTTTGGGTTTTGCTTCATTCAATGCATGTTGGCAGCCTTGATAATCTGCCGTGGTTTCTCTGCCCGGCTTCCCGTGCGCACGGCACATGTCAATGTTTGGTGACGTATGTTTCCTGATGCATTTGAGATGGTGTTTTTCAAATTGCTTTGTGCCGGGCATTTTCAGGTTGATGTCCTTTGGTAGACATTTTCTGGTAGGCACTCTGGGATACCCTGTAGGATGCTCTTTGGTGCTCTGGGATATCCTCATCGACCTTTAGAAATGGATGACTCATGTCTGATGATAGATGTTTCTGATCATGTCGTAAAATTAATCTCTGGCTGTTAAATCTTGCTGTCATACCTTGCTGTCATACCTGGCTGTTATACCTGGCTGTTATACCTGGCTGTTATACCTGGCTGTTATATCTGGCTGTCATATCTCGCTAATTCTCTGGTTGATGTTCCCCACGTGTGTTGGAAGTATGCTCCAAAAGACACTTCATTCTTCTGACACTCGCTGGGTGCCAGATTGGTGTCCTCGCTCGCACGTTCTTCCGCTCTAGCAAAAACCGTGAATGATCTCCTAGTATCTCTGACAAGCCTTCCCCATAATTTCGGGCTTTTGCAGATGCTTTTTCCAAGTGGTGTTTCTTCGCCGCCCGACCCCCAACTTTGCGGCCCTCTGTTTTCTGCTCTTTTCCCGGATTGTGTTCGTGGCCCGATATTCACTTTGCTCCGATCCTCCATTCGCGCAGCCACTCCCATTTCTGGCTGCAAACCGTATTCCGTCGCGGGCTCCGGGACCCACTGGGCCCGCGCCAACTCTCCAGTGCCTGGCGCGGCAGGGCCCATTCTGGGCAGTCCAATACAAGCGAGAGAAAAGCCAGGAATACCAAATGGCAGCAGCAAAGAATCAGCACCCCCATATTTAGGACATGGGTCGCGTCACATGCATCCGTAGATCCCGAAATAATATCCTGAAGTAAATGTACAAGCAATGTCAAGTGGTTACAAGCTACGGCCGTACTGCTGGCATTGGCCTTGACGTTTCGCCACCCCGGCGAGCCGCGACCATCTGCTAATCGATACGGCAATACTTGTACACCAGAAGAAGTGAAACTAATTCTTTACCAACTATTTTTATAAATTTCCCTATTCATAGACAGAGAGGTCCTTCATTCTCTACACATAGTCTATGGTTGAAAGTAGTTGGTGTTTTTTTTTTTAATAGTTCAAGTGTATATATATCTGTCTATTATCCTTTTTTCTTAATAATCGTCAGTTGTTCTGTCTATCTATAGGTCCGCTAAGTGGCCCGAGATAACTAGTGTCATTGGTGCCCGCCGTCATACCAAAAATACAACTGGCGAGCTGCGCGCCATGCAAAATCCCGTCCAGAGCCTGGCCGCTCCACAAGTCGTTCATCTTTGAATGTGGCCCGCCACCGCGAACCGTCCAAACCATCGAAAATATGGTTCAGACTTCAATGGAACCTCACAAATCACGCAGTAACAAACCTACTCTCTGCAAGCCCTTTGTCCTCTATATGGCCGCTAAAGCCTGGCTGTTGTAGCTCAGACATCAGCGACATCGTCCCACTGTATGGGTACGTGCACTACCTTGGGTGCATTGAACACCCTAAAACCCGTGGAACTACAAGCGCTCATATAGCGAACATATGGCATCGATAGAATCTACAGTTGGCATGCTGGAAAACGGGCCATCATATCCGCTGGCTTTTGGGGTGCCATCGCGTGGCAAGCCCAACGCCCTATGCCTTACGACAGGCAGTGTCCAAAACTTCCCGTCACATCCAACATGCGCAACACTCTACAACGTATGTCGTAAGAAAGTGTATTAACGTAAGCTAAATAACCATAACCTGAACGTGCACTCTATCACACAGATATGCTTCCACAAAATAGGCACACACAATAGAAGGCCCACGGATTACTTCAACTTCTTCTTTGGTCTCAATTGGTTGGTGTGGCCACACTTTCTCTTTCTGCAGTTGGTGGCTCTTGGTGGCAATCTAGCGTAACATTTACGGCAGATAGACTTCTCACAGTTGTACTTGGAAGCTAAAGCTTTCAACGATGGCTCAATCATGGCTGTCGATTAAGGAAAAGAGTGGAATTCGGTGCTGAGAAATTGTAGACCAGGCGGTGCGAAAGACTTTTCCAGGTGCACGGGTGCCCACGCGCTCAGTATAGGTGCCGTCTTAGGGCACGAGCCCTATTTGCCCGTCTGTACAGGCCGCCTCCGCGGGGCTGCGCAGCTAAGACGCCGACAGAAATCTTGCCCTGGGGCCGACCGATGTATCACGTGCTGGTGTTCGTCCGTTATTGCGATACCGACGCAAAACCCGTATTTGTCCTTTTTGTTAATGTGTGGTTTGGATCGTGCAGTGGCACCAGGCTTCCATGGCACATCACTGGCATCGCGCGACGATGCTTCTATATTAGTCGCATCATTATCATCGCCATTTCGAGACGCTGCCGGGTCAGACTAATAGGGCCGGCGGCCGACGCGTTGCGGCTCCACCAAAGCGAAATATTAGCACCTGATTCGCTCGAATTCTCAGAATGTGATAATCCGGGCCGTGAAAGAAATAAAAAAAACATCCTCGTGTGCACCTCCCACGTAGCTCGGCTCACCCAGCATTTTTGCCTGCGTTATTGCCCGTATCCAGTCTAAATTCCTCGCGTGTAAGTATTAATTATCGGCGCCCTTGGCAGAGCCAGCATCATGAGATCTGGAGTTCCTGGCCCGAGAAACTGGGTGCAATGCGACTGCATGAGGCTCACAATATAGGAGCCCTGAATGTGCCCTGGTCCTGGACATTGGCTTCCAGCCACCCGGTATTTCTTAAATCAAGCATAGCTTCATACCTATAGGCTCTTTGAATTCCACCCGTCGTGCTTGCCCTGAACATCCAGTATAGCTGATAGGTCTTACTTCCCTCGTGGTTCTCCAAACTGTACGGGTGTGCGGGCGCGAGCGCACGCAGGCGACGAGAACAATAATAAGCTTCGCAACAATTGATGCACTTATATCCGTCATCTCATGGACACCAACTCTCTGCCTGAGAAGGCGCCTTCTCCGGGAGACGACCATCTTGCCAATCTGAAATCTCGCGACGAAAACCAGTATCCTGGTGCTGGAATTCCATCGCTTCCGCAAGACCACATGCCAACCGAGACTTTGCCGGCCCCGTTAGGTCAAAATTCCGATGCTTTGGAGCCTTTGAACCAGCATAGCGATGCCAAAAACGAAGCCCCACTTTTGGGTGAACAGCAAGCCCCGAACATTGAGGCCACGCACCAAGAAGGCGCAAATGACGCGGTGGCCGAGCGCCCGGAACAGGACCAAGAGGCAAACTCGTCCTTGTCTCACATTCCTTCGTTGCGCTCGTTTGCCACGCCCCTGAAACTGCTTCCTCCTCTTAAGGACATCGAGCATATTACTA